TCCCTCCTGCAGGGCTCAGGTACCAGGAGGAAACATTTCCTCACCAATCAGCCCTTTTCCAAGGAGACCATGTCCCTGCTCTGCAATTGCAGAAGGGGCAGGGATAGCTCAGTGGTTTGAGCATTAGCCTGCTAAACCTAGGGCTGTGAGTTCAATCCTGGAGGAGGCCATTTAGGGATCTGGGGCAAAATCAGTCAGGGATGGTACTTGGTCCTTCTTTGAAGGCAGGGGACTGGACTCCATGACCTTTCTAAGGTCCTGTCCAGCTCTAGGAAATAGGCAGCTCCATTCATTTCAATAAACTTGGGGTGTCACCTGCTACTGTGTTTCTATGATTAACTGATCTATAGAATGCAAGACTGGGTGAGACCAAAAGTCCATACAGCCCAGTGTCCTGTCTGCTGTCAATGGTCCTACAGGGAATCATCAAGCCTGTTACCTATTCCCACCCCTGACAAATAGAGGCTAGGGACATCCTAGCTAATAGCCATTGCTGGGCCTGGGCCTAACCCCCCCCCAAAATTTATCAAGCTTTTGTTTGAACCCTGTTAAAATCCTGGTCTTCACAACATCCTCTGGCAAGGAGTTCCATAGATTGACTGTGCATTGTGTGAAGAAAAACTTCCTTTGGTTTGTTTTAAACTTGCTACTATTAATTTCATTTGGTAACCTCTAGTTCTTATGTTATGGGAAGGAGTAAATAACACTTCCTTATCTACTTTCCCCACACCAGTCATGATTCTATAGCCCTTTATCACGTCCACTCTCTGTTGTCTCTTTTCTAGTCTATTGCTTTTGATATGAAAGTGGGAAATGAGGCAAGAGGTGGGATGCCGTTGACATGAATAAAGTATCAGATCTATGTACAATACCTGCATATAGCTGGGCTCTTCTCAACCCTGAAAGCAAATAGAGAGAGATGAGACCTCCCTTGAATACAGGCACACGGCACAGGACACAGTGTGCAACTCGGTTTACATTAAGGGTGTGCACATGGGGAGCAGGGAATGGAACTCACCAAGCCCAAATTCAGTGAAGAGTTTCCCTAGAAAACAATAAACAAACAGATCTGGACTCAGGTTGATAAAAACGAGATGGGAGTCAAAATCCTACGGAAGTTTCTCTCTTTAGATGAGAGGCCCTGAGGCATTCCTAACAGTTCCACACTCTTGCACGGCCCTAAGCCAGGCACGAGGCCCAGGAGTGCTGGGAATGAGACAGCTGCAAATTCAGTGAAGAGTTTCCCTAGAAAACAATAAACAAACAGATCTGGACTCAGGTTGATAAAAACGAGATGGGAGTCAAAATCCTACGGAAGTTTCTCTCTTTAGATGAGAGGCCCTGAGGCATTCCTAACAGTTCCACACTCTTGCACGGCCCTAAGCCAGGCACGAGGCCCAGGAGTGCTGGGAATGAGACAGCTGAGGGACACCCGGCGCCCGTATTTTTAACAGTGCAAGAGTGATAAGGAGAATTGCAGCCCAGTAAACTTTAGTTCATGTCCTGGTAAATTGGTTGCAATTATAAAACAGGTGGGTGCTGAGCACCCACTGGCAGCTAACTCCCCATCCCTCCCAGCACCTCCCACCCACCACAGATTAGCTGTTCTTTGGCATGCAGGAGGCACCAGAGGGGAAGGAGGCGTGAGAGCTGGTGCACTCAAAGGAGGTGGTGGAGCAGAGTTGGAAGAGGTGGAGGGGCTTGGAGGAAGAGCTGGAGAGGAGGCAGGTCGGGGGTGAAGTGGAGACAGGAGAGGCAGGGGAGGAGGCAAAATGGGGTATGCAGGGGTGGGACATGGAAGGGAAGAGATGGGTGAGGCCTTGGGGGAAGAGGTGGAGTAAGGAGTGGGGCTGTCACAAATCATGGGTAGTGTGAATGGTTAGCATGAGTACATGAGTGAATCTACAGTAGGTGAGCTGAAGAGAGGCTATGCTGAGGCCCAGGCAAGAGCCCCAGAGCATTATGGACTTGTTTACAACTTTAAGAAGAAGGACTGTGTGAAATAAAAGAATTGAGTATGTAGCTGAGGCAGTGTTTCCAGCATTTCCAGATAGGAAAAAAGTAACAAGGGAAGAATCTAACCAAGGACAGACCATTGTTTCTCACTCTTGGTGAAGCAAGCAGAGCAAAAACCGGGTGTTTCTGGATCAGTCATGGACACACCAGTAAGAAGAAGGGGGTGTCACTAACAGACATCCCCCCACCTGGACTGTGTGCTACCAGTGGATGATATCCCACGGGACTGGCCCCTGCCGAGGGGATATATACCACACCATTTTGCCCCACGAGTTGGAGGCCATTGATTCAGCATATTGGGGTGACGTGCACGTCGGACTTCCACCTCAACCAAATTAACCAACATTACCTGGGGTCTGGCCAGCCCCAGGGGGTGGGTGTGAGAGAGAGAGAGAGAGAGAGCATAAGTGAGTGAGTGTGTATTAAAGTGAATTAAGGATTAGGCTGCTAAATTGGGTTAAGGATTAGATGTAGATTGTTAATTATTCCATTTAAATATTGCTTTTAATGCCTTTTAATGCTTGTGGTGCCTTTTAATGTCTTTTAATGCTTTTTTAATTGCTTAGTACTAAATATACATATACATATAGTGCTTTTAAAACTGCTCCCGAATTGCGTGCAATAAAACTGGTTAAAGGGATGCTTAAGATACTGTGGAAGATTCTTTTGTTCTGTGAACGTTGAACCAAATGCATACTGTGATATGGCTTGATGAACCGGATCACAGCGCCCTCCTGTGACAGGGCTTGGGTCAGAACAGGGGGGCGTTGAACACCCCCCTGCACATTAGAAAGTTGGAGAGAGGACCCACAATCACACTGCAGTGCCTCAGCAATTCTCCTGACTGTCAGTGCTAAATTAATGCCATTGTGACAATTTTGAAACTATCAATTACAACTTCAGTGACTGACAGTTGAGAAATTCACAGTTGCACATCTACCCCCTGCCCGAGCCTTTGTGCAGCCAATGTCTCCCTACCCCCCCCCCCTTCCTGCTGGGGAAGGTAGAAACATGGTAACAACTTCACATTTCCCCATCACTAAACATCTAGCGAATGACAGAATAAGTCATTCACCTGCTCCCTTCTGTCAGGGACTAGGAAGCCAATCCCTGAGCTATTTCAATGGCGGGGGCACTGGTAGACAGAGCTTGCATGCAGAATGGAAGGAGTTACATTGGGGCTCTACTTCGTATGTGCTGTAAGGCAGACAGGGCTCCATTTCACGGGAGCCCTCCATAGCTGCTTAGAAAGTACAAGCTATACCCCCTCCCTGCTAACAGTAAGGAAGACACGTTACCTTTCTCTTCACGATGTTCTTCTGCAAATAAATCATAAAGAAGAGGATTTGATTTTACATAGTGCACAGTTACAGGAGAATTTTCTACTACTATATATATACACAGGTGTAGAGATGTTCGCACTGACTGCATTACTGTCAGCCCCTCCTGTAATGTGATTATCTATCCATTTTTCCTCAGTTATTATTATTATTCCCACTTCTTTAAAATTGCCACATAGCTCTGCTCCATAATTGGGGCTTCTGGGTTTAACTGTTAAACACCAATAAAAATCCCTAATAAAAACAAATACTTCCAAAGAGAACCAGCTGTAACAAGAGAGCAGTGACTGAGTCTACAGCAGTGGTCTCCAACCTTTTTACACCCAAGATCACTTTTTAAATGACAGACCAAGCCAAGATCTACCGCCCCACCCCTTCCTTGAAGCCCCGCTTCTCTGTTCTCCTCCTCTCCATCACTTGCTATCCCCAATCCTTATACTGCCGCTTTAAAAACAAAATTCCCACCATTTCTCACAGCTACTCATCTGTGCTGTTGCTCAGTGAGTAGCTGCTCCTCAAATGAGGAAATCTAATGTAAATGTACTGCGCAGGCGTGCAGTTCAGAGAGGGCTCAAGATCTACTCTTAGAGCCTCTGAGATCTACTGGTAGCTCGCGATCTACTGGTTGGTGACCACGGGTCTACAGAGACCCTGAAACCAGTCATCTGAGATAGGAACTGCCCCCTGCATCTCAGGCTGTAGATCTAGCCTTCAGGTGACAACATTCAGAGCTATTTCACGACTGATAATTTAGTCAGAGTAAAACATGTACCAATGATAATCCACTGCAACCCCTACAATTACTGTATGGGTACATCTGCACGGCAGCGTTATTCCGCAATAACTGACATTATTCCGAAATACCACAGTGCGCGTCTACACAGCAAACTGTTATTTCAAAATAATGTAGAGCTGGAGAATTTCTTACTCTGACTTCTGTAACCCTTATTGTACAAGGAGTAAGGGAAGTTGGAGAGAGAGAGTTCTTCCCTCCACTGCCTGCTGTGCAGACAGCACCAAAAGCCGGGTTAAGTTATTTTGACTTGAGCTGCGCAATTGACATAGCTGAAGTTGCATAGCTTAATTCAACTTTAGCCCTGCAACGTAGACGTACCCATATATGTGACCTCCCCAATCGTGCCTGTTTTGGCAGCCCCAAAGTTGTTCTGGACATTTTATTTTCTTTGCTTTACAACTGCAATACAATTGTCAACACCTCACACAGACACAGGGTAGCCATGCCTGCCCCACTCCAGAGGGTGGTGACCTGCCAGTTGATAAATGCTGGGTTAATTAGCACAGTAGGGATGCTCATGGGAACCATATTACTGTGATGATTTCAAGAGGTCAGTCAACCTCCCATATCTGCCGAGAGTCTTGCTACAGGCTCATCTTCATTGTTTGCGAATAGCTACATGAAACCTTTAACAAGCCCCATTGGCCAGACACACACCTTTCTGTC